GCAGGATAACATCACTGCCTTGCAAGTTAACTTGCTGTTATTTACTAATGTCTTTAGATTAAAAGAAAGCAAATTTAAAAACAAAAATGTCCTTTTTAAACAAATAAAATTAACTTTTGAGAACATACCATTTTCTTCCAAAAATACGTTCAATCCATTCCCAATCTCTTGCTTGTTTCTTCTTAACTCATCACTCATTTCTATGATCTAAATTATAAAACATAAGATACCTACAAGAAAGTTCTTAAAAATCAAATCAGTTCAACATTAAAAATAATTTTTAATTTGCCAGCCATTATTTTGTCTTGCTAGGAAATTATATGTAAATACTGAAGTCCTTTATAAACAAAACTGTTTCATTTAAGGAATAGCTAGAAACTTCAGGTTGGTTTCCAAAAGGCCCAGATACAAGCTTAGATTACAACTTAGACATCTGATTTAATAATTTTCTAAAAAGATATCAAATGATTTTCCTAGTCTGTGAGAAACTTAAAAGAATTAGCTGCAATTACATTGACTTCTTAGTAAAGAAAGGCAAATGACCCTCCATTCTTCTAGTAATCCGATCTCACCATAAATTAGCCAAATGAGAGACTTCTCAGAAAAGACGTGGGAACTTAGTTCTATTACAGCATCATCTCAGAGAATCTAAATTACTGAAACCCCCCCATAAGGCTATGAGGGGCCTCAATGCCTGTCAAACAGACTCTGTTACTACAGAGCCTTTCTCTATCCATTTGGATCACGCGCATGGTCCGAACGAACTCTTAAGTAGCCTGCTAACTTGTTCTATCTGCTTTTAACTTGGCTAACGTCTTCCAAACCTTACAGTGTACTTCCCTGCTTAGAAATGTTAATGGCTTCCTACAGTCCTTATAATAAAATTTTCCAAATCCTTTGGGCACCTGGGTTGCTCAGTTAAGTGTCTGCCTTCAGCTCAGGGCCTGTGGGAGCCTGTGTCAGGCTGCTGTCCCGCAGGTAGTCTGCTGCTCCCTATTCTGCTGCCCCTCCCCCTGCTTGTGGTTTCCCTCTCTCTCAAATAAATAAATAAAATCTTTAAATTTTTTTTCCAAATCCTTAGAGGCCTGAGACCCTTTATGAGCAATGTTCTACTATTCTAATCCAATCTCCATTTATTCCTCAAGATCCAATGATGTAGAATTCCTTGCATTCATCAAGGCACTGACACATGCTACTCCGTCTGCCTAAAATATCCTTTTTTTCTTTCTTTTCCCAGATCATTCCTTATCAACTTTCAGCTTACTAGTTTCTCCCACAGGTTTCTCCAAGCCGGAGTGGGTGCGCCTTTATGCTTCCATAAATATTCATGTTATACTGCAAGTTTTTCTCCTTTAGAGGGCAAAGAATGTCTTCGTAGTCTGTGTTCAGCACGAGTGTGACACTCCGTAAATGTTACTGAATAAACAAAGGAATGAATATGCAACTAATGTAGAGATGGAGGGGTTTGTTTTAGCAATTTCTAGCCCAATCTGAGTAGGGTGGAAGAAATCTACACCCCCAATCCTCCACCACTGATTAGTTTAAAAGATTTTATGGAAAAAGTGGCCTAGGTCAGAGGCACTTAAATATGGCTAACAGTAATGTAGTAATAATTAAGTGAAAAGAGGTTATTCCAGGTCCTGCTAACAAATGTTCAAGACAAAAGAGGGAGAAACAAAATTATGGCATGTTACAAAAGATTGTGCACTTAGGGGTCAAGTTCAGCATCTTCACTGCAGAAGTGAAAAATAATAAGCTAAAAGAGATGGATTTGAGATTCTTGGGAGAACTGTGATATAGGATAGGGCAGTGGTTCAAATCTGATAACCCCGGGACAGGATTTTAAAAACTAAAGAAAAGATCGTTATATTAATGTGTAGTGGCTTAAGGAGGAATAAAGAGTGTAATAAAATATAAGCAGAGAATCTCAAGGTAGCGGTGAGACTTCAGTGCTAGTATTCCTGGAAACAATAATGGTTTCGAAGATTAAAAAATTTCTTAAGTTTAAGTGAGATGAACCAAAAGATCTACACTAAGGTAATTATTAATTATTCATGCTTATAAAGTAATTGACAATATCAAGTCTTTTTTAAAAAAATTGTCTTTGCAGTAAAATTCATTCTTTCAGTACTTACCTTTGTTTGGTTTATGGTAATAACGTTTGAAGCAGAACTAGCAGAGCACCAGACCATCTGTGGGCCCTAAGGCCATAAGGATTCATCTGTAAAACTGTCTGGATTAGATCGCATCGAAGACTCTGTATTAGCTGAATCCACCAACACCGGATGGCCATGACCCGTGCAGACTGCTCCAATTCCAAGAACAAGTCTAATTCACTTAATCACCTTCATATCACACTTCAGCTGCCTCGGCCGCTTTGGTTTCTAAGTTACGGGGCAACATCTGGGTCCAGCAAACACGTCCTATCTGCATTTTCGGTTAAGAACCGCAGGCCGCGGCGAGAGGGACTGCGGTTCCTACGACCCCAGCCACGACACCGGGTACGATCGCGGGGCACCGAACGGCGTCAACAAGGACACGAGCCGGGCCGCCGGATTGAAGGCCTGGGCCGTGGGTCACACGATCAGGACGTGGCAGGCTCGGCCCGGCCACGCACAGGAGCTCCCGGGCAGACGCGGCAGCGCCGGGCCCGCAGGCCTTGCCTGTGCGTGGCCCCGGCGTCCCTCGTGCGGTGGCTGTGCGGGCCGCGGAGCTGGGCCTCAGGTCTCAGGGGCGCTTCGGGAAACCCGCCCCGGAGAGGCCTCCCGCCCCGGCACACCCCGCCTCAGGAGGAAACGGGCAGTTTAGAGCTTTTCCTCCTCTCCAGAGCTCCTCCCCTTGCCCTGAACCCCAGCGCCGACCTCCCAAGCCGCAGCGGCCGTTACCTCCGTCCCCGGAGCCAGGGCTTGGCCGTCGCCACCGCCCGCCGCCATTTTGTCCCACGGGGCCGCGGCTGCCGCGAGGGCTTGCGGGGGGAATGGGGGCAGCGGCGGCGGCACGAGGGGGCGGGACTTCCGGGGCCTCCTGAGGAGCCGGAAGCGGGGGCCTCAGCGGACCTAGCGAGTACCGCCCCCCCCAAACTGCGCTGGAGCGAAGGCTGCGGCCTGGACTGGAGCCGGCGGCCCTTCCAGGGTGCCAGGGCGCTCTGTGCGCTGCCCCCCGGACACTGCGGTTGAGCGCAGCGGCTCCGGGGCCAGTTCTCGGGGTAGGCGGTGTGACCGTGGCACAGTCCCAGGGAAGCAGGCTCCATGGCGCCTACGATCCCAAGTCTGTTGTAAGGAGGTCAGACAAGCTAAGTAGGAGCACAGCGTATCCGGCAAATACGCAGTAGCATCTGCCATCATTACCACCAACCTGATGGGGCACAATCAAAGGCTGCAAAGAAAAAGCAAAATAAGTTTATTCGTGTTAGAGGTCGTCATGAGATCTCTTGCAACAGTGGAAGGTTATCAGCTAGAAAATGAGTCCTAAATTTCCTTTAGCGCTGGTCCAACGTGTGATGCAAATTTCGTCATATTCTGTATCTCTGTGGGCTTCTCTTTCCTCAGTTTACCCAGTAATTTAAAAAGGATTACTCTCAGAAATGCCTCCCAGAGAATGGTCCCAAACTTCCAAAGGGGATAATGGAAAAAATACAGTATTGGGGTATTATGGGTAAGAGGATCATGTTGGCAGGGAAAAAAAGGCCTCCTACAGGTAAAATTCCATGTATCACAATTTGTACCTCTTACACAAGGTCCTTAAGAATTGAAAACTTCTTGAGAATTACGGGAGATGATACTGAGTATGGAGATAGTGTACCCAGTATAACAGATCTTACTTTATAAAAAAACCATATCCATTAAAAATGTTTCAACTTTTTGGAAATCAAGTGTTTTAGTGCAGTATGTGTGGGACCTAGTTTTTTTAAAGGACATAATTAATAAGCTTACCTTAATTTTTTCTTTTTTTTTTTTTTTTAGAATTTATTTATTTGACAGACAGAGATCACAAGTAGGCAGAGAGGCAGGCAGAGAGAGAAGAGGGGAAGCAGGCTCCCCACTGAGCAGAGAGCCCGATGCGGGGCTCGATCCCAGGACCCTGAGATCATGACCTGAGCCGAAGGCAGAGGCTCTAACCTACTGAGCCACCCAGGTGCCCCTTACCTAAATTTTCTATTAAATTTCTGGATCTTCCTATTTTCTCTTCCAAATGGTGACCCCAACACCCAATAATTTCCATATAAGAGATAGCAATTTCTAAACTGTTACCCCAAAATAGAAGTATATGGCAGGATTTTGAAAGCTAAACTTCCTTCCTCTAAGTGTTATTTTCTCACTTTCTCCCACTCTGTCTCTCCATCCTATTTTAGACAACATGGACAACTTCTGTCAGATATGCCAGCCCAGTCTTTGACTTCTCTTGGCATAGGACTGCTAAGTGTATTAGTCCATTCAGGCAGCCATAATGTAATACCATATACTGGCTGGCTTAAAAAAACAACAAACATTTATTTTCTCACAGTTCTGGAGACTGGAAGTCCAAGATCAAGATGCCAGCATGCTTGGTTTCTGGTGAGAGCTCTATTCCTGTATTACAAAGGGTCACCATCTCTCTCTATTCTCATATGGAATTTGGTGAGAGAAAAGGGAGAATGAATAAAAGCTCTTGATGTCTCTCTCTTCTTATAAGGGCACTAACCGCATCATGAGAGCCCTTCCCCTCATGACTTCATCTAAACCTAATTACCTCTAAAAAGGCCCCATCTCCAAATTCTGTCACAATGGGGGTTAGGACTTCAACATATGAATTTTGGAGACACAATTCAATACACAGCCCCTAGTAAATCAACCACCCAAGAATACTAGGTATTTTCAGTTTGGAGTTTACAACCAATAATAATTATGAAGGCTGGTTCTTGAGAAAAAATCGAATAGTTGACGTTAAAGTTTTCAAAATCTTTTAAAATATAAAAGTCAGTGAAGCGTCACTTATAACTAACACATGATAGTACAAAAATGGTTTAAAGACTGACTCCTATTATTTTATTACCAAAACAATTTTAATAGTAACAAATTTTCTTAAACATATTTAATCAGGTATCTTCTGGAATATGGGTTAAATGATGAAAAAATGGGCGACCATGAACACACCCTTTAATTTCATTTCCAAATTGGTCCTTCATTCTGTAGATAATGTCTTGGACGTCCTCTTTGGATAAATACATGGGCAACTGTCTAGATAGACGCACTGCTTCTCCCTATGAAGAGAAAGTCACATGTTATACCATGATACACCCTGAAGCAGAAAACACGTTATTCCTGACAAGAAAGAAGACCGAAAACAGATTATATTCTTATTATTCATTCACACACATATTAAACACATATTACATGTTCATCACTATTGTATGTTTTACAAACAGTGGAGAATAAGACAAATATCCTTGCTCATGTTAAATTTTATTCTAGTGCAGAGACACAAAACAGATAAAAAGACAAAATTTTGGGGGCGCCTGGGGGGCTCAGCCAGTTGGGCGTCCAACTTTTGATTTCAACGCAGGTCATGATCTCAGAGTTGTGGGATAGAGACTGGGATTGGGTTCTACACTGGGCATGGAACTTACTTGGGATTTTCTCTCTCCTTCCTCTGCCCCTCCCCACACCCCTCTCTAAAAAAATACAAATAAATAAATTAAAAAGAGTCCTCACATAAACGGGAGGTAAAGTCAAAACCTGTTGATGAACTGGCTATGAAGGATACGGAATCAAGGGTAATGTCCACATTTCTGGTACGGTGATGTTGTTTTCTGAGATACGAAAACTGAGCATTTAGGGGTAAATGGTATTAGCAAAGCTGGTTTCTTTTAAAATTTATTTAAAAATAAATTGTACTTCAAAGAGCTTGAGCCTAATATAATTCTCTAACCACATACCCTCTTCCATTATCCTACTCCTTTCCAACTAAGCCTATTTTTTCCTTCACTTTGACCTTTAATCTCCTCAGTCCCTCTTTATTGCTCCGCCGCACCAGCACCCTTCTTGTCATCTTTCCTACGTAAGGCACAGATAGTAAGCCATTAAAGATACTATTTCTAGCTTTCTGTATTCCTTTTTGATTCCTACTACTAGAACCTGTTGGGTTGGCGGTTCGGGGAGTGCAGGAGGAACACTAGAAATGACCGCCGGGGCCGCCATCTTCCAGTCTCAGCTCCTTCCTTAACTCTTGACTCTCCCGCCAAAAGGATGTATGCCCAGGTCTCGTCTCCATAGGTAACCCGATACCTATGCAGGAAACAGGAGTATCAAGAGCCCCCACCCCATACCCTCCTATCACCAAATACCCTACCATATATGGATGTGAACCCATGCCCTGCCTTGGCCCCATAAAAGACCCCCGCCAACTCCCTCCCAGTGCGACTTCCCCGACTCCGCTTTCCAGAGTCGCGGAACTTCGCCCGAGGGTGCCCACCTCCTCCTGGTGCGACTTTCTTGGCTCCCCTTCTCCTGAGCCCTGAAACTTCGCTGGAGATGCCTTTAATAAATCTTGCCTTGCGCCTACCTCGCCTGGTGTTGTGTTTACCTCGCCTACAAAATTTTACAGAACCTAATTCATCTTTAAAATCTTCTAGGACCTAACACAGTTTCTTGTGTACATTATGGGTTCAAATGTGCTCACTCACCCCCTTGTTCTACCATATTCACCTTGTAATCCCTATACCTGGATAAACTGTACCATGTACTATTAGAAAATCACCAAACTATCTTGGCTGGATCCAATATCAATGTTAGCTCTTGTCAGTGCTCAAGGCCATTTGGACATCTTAGTCTTCTCTAATCAATCTTCTCTTATAGTACCTACAGCTCTTATTTTTGGATCTTTTCTACTATACTCAAATCCCCAATGCCTTCCTAGCCTCTTCACTCTCAGGAGGTAACTTCTCCTACACCTTCATCACATGTATCATACATGACTTCTCTCAAGTTTACCTGAAAATAGTTTTACTTCTACTTTCCTTCCCTTTTGCTCTTGACTGAGAGAAGTTTCTCCTTTCTAAAACTTATATCATTACCCTTGTCTTCCTTCCTGCCTCTTTTGGAACATCTGCTTGCCAATCTTTTATGTCAGTCTTTTCCACCAATAACAAAGACAAGCTAATCTCTCTTTTCTTCTTTTTACCACCATATGACTTGCTGCCTACACTTTTTCACTACTGTCCTACTCTTTTGCCATTGGCGAGTCTTGCATCTGGACTACTTTCCTATTATCATTGCCATCCAGCAACCATACCAAATGGTCTTCAAGCAACTATTACCCTATAAAGAATCTGCTACTACTTTCTCATTTTCAAATTTCTTTCCTCCCTTGACCTTTATATCTACTCCTCTACTGTTTTTTCTTTCACTCTCCTGTCTTTATTTCTGATTCATCTTATTCAGCTTGACTTTAAATGTAAGTATTCCTGTAGATCTTATAGAAGTTCTCTTTTTTCCCTAGACTCTCTTCCAAAACAATCAATTCACAACTGACTTAATGTAATGAGGTATAATATTAGTAAAAATATTTATACCTAATGTCAACCACTTTTTTTTGTTGTTTCTGAAATCATATTTCTTCTCACATGGTTTTTCAATATACAAAATACTACCCTCCTTCAACCTTCATTTACATTTATTCTACCTCTTTCACAAGAAGATTCCTTTGAAGTCATTAGAAACTATCAGTGTTAAATTGCTCACGCAATAGGCTAGGAAAGTCCACAAGTCAAGGCTCTTGAAGGGCCTATAGAATGCTACTGAATACAATCTTCAGAAAGAGTAAAAAGTGGACTTTCCTGAAGTCTGGCCCTCAGAATACAGTGGGGACATTATGATTATATTCTAAACAAAAATGGCCCATTTTTTTTTTTTAAATGGAGAAAACAAATCTTATTTATGTTCAGGTTTGTTTTTGAAATAATACCAAACTTGAGGGAGAAAATTCAAACATTGAGACATTCACTATTACTTTCCAACAACTATCCTATATGACATTTAAAACTTTATAATATTCCTCCATCCCATATTATATCAGAACTTATTTTTTAACCCACTGTTATGTTTCTTATTTGTGGTAGATATTCCTAGGTAACTAAAATTTCCTTTTATTCAATAATACATCTTTCACTTTATCTCTTTTTGCTCTTGCAGAGGTCAAGGATTTCTTTTTTTAGTAGTATTTCTTCTTAGAAAAACTAATAGACCTTACAGAAACTTTACTATTTTGAAAACTTACTGTTTTATTAAGAAACCGTTAAGTATGATAAAATCCAACCAACCTACATAATCTAATAATAAATACCTCTAAGTAGCTTATCACTTTGCGAGGTCTACATTCATAAACTTCCTTTGCATTTTTGTTTAATATAGCATTAAGAATTTCTTTTAAGTCCATCACTCCATAGAATGGGAGACAATTAGCCATTTCTTCTATTTCCAAGTAGTCTTCAGCAATGGAAATGCCTAAAAGAAAAATAAATAAAACCACATGTAGATATGGTTAGTTTTGTTTAAATTATATTCCAGAAAATGTCTATTAAAAACAAAATCACTGTTAAAAACATTTAGTGAACCTTCCTTAGAATTTAATGTAGTCAGGACAAAGTTCTGTTCCTTAGTTGGAGAACAAATAATAATTTCCCATAGGACTTCAGATTAAGTCATAAGCGTCAGAGACACCACATGTGCTTTATATCATTTAATTTAATCTTAGTTATTGCACTTCTGTTCCCTACATTTGTTTAGAACATTTCTTACTTTGGAGAGAAAATGAAGTCCCATGATATTTATTAAAATAAAACTGGTTTAAGTGTTTTAACAACTGCTGCTATTCTATTAAAGTCTATTCTACTAGTTTAATACTAACTTAAAGGCCTGAATTATTTCTATGATTATTTTAACTTACAATTTATAAAAATACTTATATAGTAAGTTATTTTTTATAGTTTTATTGAGATATAATTGATAAACACTAAGTTTATGGTATGCATAGTACTGATTTGACACACATATACTGCAAATAGTAACAATATATTACTAGTTTGAAAATGAAATACTATTTAATCAGTAATGTTTACTCAAAATATCTTAGTAAAACAATATTTAAAACTGACATTATTTATTAAACTACTTTAAATAATTTAGTGACTAAAATAAAACTAAAAAAAGCTACATGATTAGATATATCATGAGGTAAAATATCCATAAGAGCATATATTCCAAAGGATCAACTTTGGCTTTAGAATGCATTTTAAGATGTTGCAAAACAGCAGATATTGAACTTCTTTGGCTCTATCTGTGTAACAGTGTTCTTAATATTTAAGCCCGCCCATGTTATATAGAACTAAGAAAACGAGACAGTTCAACATTGGGTAAGTGGCAGCTATCAACAGATGAATGAAAAAAGAGGAGTGATACAGCTTGAAGAGTTTCAGGTCCTGAGACATCAGTGATCCTATCCCTAATCTGTTTCCAGTTAGAGATCACTTTCTTGATCTGGAGAAGATGCAATGGTGGTGCACTAAACAGAGCAGGCACCCCTGGAAACAACTGGAGAGTAACAGAAGATCTATAATCAAGCACTGAGGAGCAAAACACAAAGTTTGGTCAAGGAAGACAAAATAAGAGTTTGAGCAACCAGGGGAACTTAAATGGGACTTGAAACAGGATATATACAGGCAAAGAGGAAGAAGCAGAGTATTATAGTTCACATCTTTTTGCATATATAGAGAAGGAAATTACAAAAATATTAGCCCACAGACTTTTCACTATTGCTGGTTCTTTACCTTTTATAGAACAATTAGACTGAAGAGTCTAATAGTGGCTAGATTTGCCCTGGAAAATCATACACTTTTCACAGAATTACTTGTGGATATGGGTACAGTATTTGGCAGTAGATGAGGAAATTGAGCAATATTTTAATCACCATGTTTGCAAAATTCTGATATGGGAAACTTACAGACATTTGGAACCACGTAACAATAAACTTTCAAGAATTTTCCATAAGATTCTGTGAAATGTGTCCCAATTTTCAGGGAAAATATTTCAAATGAGTAAGTGGTTTGACAAGTTTTCACTCTTAAAATACAGAATTCTTATTGATGCAGAACAAAAAACTAATCCTGTGAATGAGAAAAATTCTTAGGATCACATTCAGAATCTTTTCCCTCAGAGTTAGATGTATTCCTCCTCTCTTTTAAACGTCCTTATCATTCAAAGATGTTTAGTGACAACTGGCAAACTGCTCATCCAAAGTTCGTCCAAGAAAACAAACTCACGAAGAGGAGAAATGGTTTTTAGAAAACATGACATAAAAATTAATGAAGGAAAAGAAAGTCTTAAAAAAGAGGAAAACAGAGTTTTAAATTTGATCTGTTACTGCTAAGATAAATAATGCTGATGACAATCTAAGAAAATTAATTCCAACCAAATCAAGTCAGTTTGCAGGTGACTCTTACTCATTTTTATATCTCTGGTGCCTTGTAAAGTACCTAGTATTCAACAGGACTTAAAGAACACTACCCACAGGGTACCTGGGTGGCTCAGTCTGTTGGGCATCTGCCTTCAGCAAAGGTCATGATCCCAGGGTCCTGGGATAGAGCCCAGTATCAGGCTCCCTGCTCATCAGAGAGCCTATTTCTCTGTCTCCCTCTATGGCTCCCCCTGCTTGTGTGCTCTCTCCTTGTCAAATAAATAAGTAAAATCTTTAAAAACAAAAACAAAAAACACTACCCACAAGCTAAGAGCTGAAAGCATAAACATGTTCTTAGAAAAGACAGGGAAGTAGTTATTCTAACTTTTTTAAAAAAATTGCTGTGATACTATTTTTTATGAAAAAAAAAAAAAAAAAGAGTGGCACCTGCCAGCAATACCACATAGTTCGTTAGAAAACAGATTAAGAAAAAAAAATCTTATTACACACAAAGCTATACACACCCCTTGTTTCACACTTCAAATAAGTGCTAGGGGTCTCGAGGAAGAAAGATTTCTGGGAGGACTAAAAGAATTACAGAAAGGGGTACTGGAAGATGGGAAGAAAAGAGAATATCCAAACACCTACCACTGGCAAGTACTATGCTAACTGATTTCCCTAAGTACCTCTCTAGTGCTCACAACTACTTTATGAAGTAAATATCTCAATTTTTGTAGGAAACAATATAACAAATTAATTAAAAGCTAGACTGTAAATGTGCTTGGGTTGAAATCCTGGTTCTACTACTAACTGGTATGCTTAAGCAAACTTCATTGTGTCTTGATTTTTCCATCTGTAAAATGGAGACAGCAACAGAACCTACTTCATAGGGCTATTAATAAATATTAATACATTTACTATTTAGAATAGTGCCCTGTACATTATAATTATTTGATAATTATTAGTTGTTATGATGAGAAAACATTGAGTCCACTCCAAATCTAAATATCCAAGACTGAGACAGAAGGTAAGAAGTCCGGGGCAGGTGCTCCTAAAACTGCAGAAGTAGGTAAAATTGAAGTTTGGAGCACCAAACCATTTTCTGTATATACTTAATTTCATAGCTTCATACAATTGTTTTTACTCATTTTCTTTTTACGTCTAAATAAAACATCCCTATAAAAACCTTCAACTCTGTTTTGGTTGAACTTTTTCTGTATATTGGTTATGACAAGTTTAGTGGCAGGCAGGAGGGGGAACAGTGGCATCACTCTTCATGATACCCTTGAGACCAAACAAAGGGAAAATAATAGGACAAGACCAGCCTAGGCAGGGCAGAAAAGAGTTAAGTATGAAAGTTAAGTATGAAAGTTATGAAAGAATAGAGAAGAGAATAGAGAATAGAGAAGTTCCTAACCAGGAAAACAGAAGTCTGCTTCCCAGAACGATTTACTTTTCTCTCCACCCAGTGACTTGCCATACAGAGAAGATAGTGTTATCACAGTCTTTTTAGCAAAGCAATGCAATCAAATCATTCTCCAAATAGTAAGACTGCTGATGTTACAAATCTAATTGGCAAAACAGGAAGAGATGGCCATTTTTGTTAGACCTTTCCAATATACTACACATTTAGTTCTTTCATCATCCAAAGGAGTATTAAATACTTTAAATATACTAGGCATATTGTGCCAAAGATGTCAAAAATTACAATGAAACTTCTCGATTAGTTATGAAAACACAAATGCAAGGTAACAGACTGAAAGGGATGCCAAACTTCCTAGTTTCAGGGATTACCTTTTTGAAATATGATTATTTTTATATAGCTGACACTGTACTTTTGGTGAGACAAAAATATACCGGTATGTATATTATGAAACCCAAATGAAACTTCTGGAACAAGACTTCTTTTACTAAGTCAGGAAATAGTAAACCACATCATCATACCTGGTATCCATTTTATCTTGAAACCATTTGCTGTAAGACGAGGATCGGACAGGTAAGCTGATCCACTGTATCTCTGATCATCTGTGGTCATTTTACATAAAATCTCTAAATAATGAGATCCATTAAAAAGACTGAAAAAGAAATTATGGTCCTTTAACTTATTAAATATGTAAAATGAAATAAGAGGATTTATGGAAAAAAGTTAATGCAAGGGCCCTTTAAAAATGATTCATAACAAAATACAAAGATGTAAGTAGCCCTGTGAGAAACTTTACTTTTTTACATCTCTGTTAATATCTCTTAGAAGACCTACTATATACAGCATACAGAAAGGAGGAAGAATGGACACAAAAGACAGTTTCTATCTTTTAGAACATTATGAACTAAATGTGAGAGCAAAAACTGTGCTCTCTCTATAAAATACAAGTGAAAATTTTATAAATAATGCCATTGTTATATTATTATTATTCTATCATAAGGTTGTTGTTAAGATCAAAGGGTTTAGTAAAGTTCCTATCATATGGTAAATCCTCAGCAAACATTGGCCATTATTACTGAGCTCCTACTTCGTATTTTACAGAGATCTAAGTTACAGAGATCTAAGTTACAGCCATTGAGAGATAAATGACACAATCTGCATTAGAACCATAGTAAGGACACTGAACCCAACCCATAATTCCTGTCTTTCACTCAGTTTTGAAAAACTTATATTAATTGTGGTGGGCATGTCACATCTCAAAAGAAGGGTGAAAACAATTTTGAATTCAGTTTTGTTGCTGTCCATGTTCAATTAAGAAAGCTTTATTATCAGGCTAGTATGGGTCCCAAATAATAGTTTTTTATTTTTTTATTTTTTTTCAAAGGTTTTACTTATTTGACAGACAGAGAGAGAGAGATCAGAAGTAGGCAGAGAGGCAGGCAGAGAGAGAGGGGAAGCAGGCTCCCCACCAAGCAGAGAGCCCGATGCGGGGCTCGATCCCAGGACCCCGAGACCATGACCTGGGCCGAAGGCAGAGGTTTAACTCACTCAGCCACTGAGGCACCCCGCAAATAAGTTTTTAATGTATTTGTTTTTGAATAACAGAATATCATAAAGGAAAAAAATCTTTAAAAATGTTTAATTTGTAGAAGCACAGAATGATTTTTAAAATATAAATGAAAGTTCACAAATAACCATGTAGAGAAGTGATCATGTTTAAAATTTCAGATATATCCTAGTTCTTTTTAAGGGAAGAACAAAAAGTACTATCAGATTTTTGAACTGTTTAATACAGGCCAAATCTGTATTAATTCTTTTTCTAAATTCTTTGACAGTTTGCTAAGCTAATCTCAAAGAGAATACTATAAAAGATGCTGGATTTAGGTGAATGTGATTACTGCTGTCTTAATTAAAATGACAGCTCTGGGGGCGCCTGGGTGGCTCAGTGGGTTAAGCCTCTGCCTTCGGCAGAGAGCCCGCTTGGCAGAGAGCCTGCTTCCCCCTCTCTCTGCCTGCCTCTCTGCCTACTTGTGATCTCTCTGTCAAATAAATAAATGAAATCTTAAAAAAAAAAAAAAAAGACAGCTCTGATACATGTTTTCCTGTGTCTTGGTCCTATTTTTTCCTTCTGGTAACAGGGATTTTTTTTTTCAAAATACAAAATTATATTGTATTTTTATATATATCAAGAGCAGATAAATAAATGATGAAATTTAAAAAATAACCCCACTTATATGAGCATAAAAAAACAAAATATTTGGGAAAAATTTTTTCAAAAAAATACCTCTATACTGAAAACTACAAAATATTGCTGAGAGAAATTAAAGAAGACTTAAATCAATGGAGACCACTGTGCAGGGATTGGAAGATGCAGTATTGTTAAGATGGCAATTCCCCCCAATATGATCTACAGGTTCAAAGCAATCCTAATCATAATTTGGTAGCAGGGCTTTTTAACAAAAGAGTTTTAATATACTTTATAAAAGATTTTTTTATATATTCTTGGGAGTTCTGAAACAGAGTTATCTAGTGACATTTCCCAAAGAACAAACCCTCAATATCTTTCTAATTTCAGGGTTTTTTTAAAAAAAGATTTTATTTATTTATTTATTTGACAGACAGAGGTCATAGGCAGAGAGGCAGGCACAGAGAGAGAGAGAAGGAAGCAGGCTCCCGGCTGAGCAGAGAGCCCGATGCGGGGCTTGATCCCAGAACTCTGGGATCATGACCTGAGCTGAAGGCAGAGGCTTTAACCCACTGAGCCACCCAGGCGCCCCTAATTTCAGGCTTTTATCTCTTTTCATATATATGATTCTTTCCTCTGTCAGACCAAAGAAAGAAATAATAAACATAAAAAAAGGGAAATGTTAACAGGTTAGCTGTTAGCTATTCATTTTTACAGAAAATAATTTGCTCATGTAGGATATTAAAGGGAAATACCCCATTTGGCAATCTATAATAAAATCAGTTCAGGCCAACAATCATCAATGGATGAAATCATTAGCTGGAAAGGTTGACAGGGAATTTTAAGGTATGAGAGCAGCTGTCAGTGTCTGAAACCAGTGATAAGTTCCTTCTGCTGTGATGAAGCAAGAAGCACATAGCACAACCTATTAAATAGTCACCCCAGAAAGTAGAATCGAAATCTATTCAATCCTCCAGCGCTAACTTCTGGTTAAACATGGGAGAGGGAAAAACAAGGAACCACGAGGAAGCAAAGGGACAAACAGAGACAATAGGATATTCTAAAAAACAAGTGACTTAGTATCAACAACAAGTTAATGGTGTGATATTAGAAGAGATTTAAGAGACAAAATGTAACAGCTGGATCTTGTTTAGATACAAATTAAATTTAATAATTTAAAAACCATAAAAAAGACATGTTGAGACAATGAGGTATACTTTCAAGGAATTAATATTGTGTAAGATACGAAAAAGTCATTGTGGTTAGGTAAGTCATTTTTAAAAGAGAGAAACCGAAAGATATTTGGGTGGAAATTGGCTAAAAAATTTAGGAAAGAAAAAGAAAATATCTCTGTGTGTGTGCGTGCATAATATACATATATATATTTGAAAGGACAAATAAACAAATGTGGCAAAATCTTGGTAATTGTTGATAAAGGCATTCATTGTATAATTCTATTGTGGTACACATTTGAAATGTAAAGTGTACAATGACAGAGTCATGGCAACCTAACTTCAAAATTGTCCTAGCAAGTCACTTATGAACAGGAGAATTGAGGCTGATATTTACTAACTGCAGAAGTAAACTAGCTAGAATATTCTAAAATTATTTATTCAAAAACAATTCCATTGAAGATTAGAAAATCAACTTTAAAAAAGATTTCCTTAAAATTTTCTCTACCAGAAAACAGTTCCAACTTTTGCTTTGAATTTCCAATCTAGTATGGATTGATAAATCTTTTGAGAAGTAAAAAAAGAAATCTATTATTTCAGCATACCTCTCTGTTAATATAATTGGCTTTTCCAGTGGCTCTGCAGGAAGTTTATGATTTTCAATAAGTCTTTTAAATAGCAGGGCTTCTTCCACTCTGTAAGGATTTAATAGCATTACCTCTGTTTTGGATGTAATTAGCCACGCATCAGGAAACTTGAGATTGTGGAGCAAGCAAAGTTCCTCCTTCTCTTCTAAGTCAAATTTATGTTTCTCAAAATTTTTTTTTAAGTTTTCCATAGAAAAGGGGATCTGAACTATTTTAATGTTTTGGTTCTTTTTTTCAATTTGGGACTGAAAGAGCTCATCAAGTTTTGGCTGATTAGATAATGAAGTTTTCAGTTTGTGCTTCTGTGCCAAATTCCATGCACTGGTGGGCTTCATCTTTTTTCTGCCATCCTTAAATGATGTTTGTGATTCCTGTTCAATGGCTCTCTTGATTTGCTTATTGTATCGTTCCAAATCTTTAGTAGCTTTCTCTTCGTATCTGGGAATAAAGATAAAATAGAACTAATAATCAGAAACGCATGGGCCATCTGAAGTAAATTTTATAAAAAACAAAGAGCTGGTGTTCCAAGTCTGATAATGATGAAGGAGCTTATATTGGACTAACCTTCCCTACGTAACTATAATTCTGAACAAAATACAGAGATCAACTATTTAAAATGGACATGGAAAAGCAACCAAAAATAGGCAGATATTGGAATGATTCAACATTCAAAAAAGAGATCCATATTTATATAGCTTTTACCTAAAGGGCAGTTCCTAGCATTAAAGGGGAGTGGCGAAAGAAAGAAAGAAAGAAAGCAAGCAAGCAAGCAAGCAAGCAAGCAATAAGCTGCATTCTTTTTGAAAAAAAAAAAAAAAACAAAAAAAACAAAAAAAAAAAACCACAAAAAACTTTTTTTTCCAATATTTTATTTATTTAACAGGGAGGAAAACAGTGAGAGGGAACACAAGGAAGGAACACAGTGGGGAGAGGGCTAAGCAGGCTTCTCACTGAGCAGGGAGCCAGATGTGGGGCTCCATCCCAGGACCCTGGGATCAATACCTTAGCCAAAGGCAAACGCTTAATGATTGAGCCACCCAGGTGCCCCATGAAAAAGTTTTTTTTTTTTTAATAATTTTTATTATTTATTTTTATATCACATAATATTACATTATATAAGTTGCACTCTTACTAGGTTGAATAACTAGAACAGAGTTCCTTGCTTCCAAAACAACTGGAAATTAAAGGAGAAAAATCCCAGAAAATTCCATAAGTGGAAGCCTGGAGGAAAACAACTGCTAGAATGTTCAATGAGCTAGACACAGATTTTAGTGACTACCTATGGCAGAGTAAATGGAATTTAGAGTTTGAATTTTATATAATTAGATGGCTTAATAAACGATTTGCACTTCAAATTAAAACTGGATGAGGGCTACATCCTAGGGTAAGGGAAAAACTATGTCCTAGAACTAAGAAAGCTACCCCAGGGCTGGGGGCAATATTTAAAGTCTCTCTCTAAGGAAGTATAAAACAGCCTTCCAAGCTCAGTGTGATCTGTCAGTAACTTAAATCGTTGCAGAACAAACACCAACACTTTTCAGAAGAATACAACAGAATCTAGAGTTTCTTCAATGTATCACCCACAATGTCCACTAAACAATTAAAAGTTATCATTCAAGCAATAAAAAGGCAAAATGATCAAGAGAAAAACTGGTTAGTAAAAACCAACCTCAACATGTCTCAGATGTTGGAAATTGCCAAAGGGGAAAAAAAAAGTTATTTTTGAAATGGGTTTTTATAAATATTTAAGGACTTAAAGGAAAAGATTATCCTAATGAGAGAACCAAAAGGAATGTAAACAGAGAAGTGACATTATAATAAAGAACCAAAGGGAAATGCTACAACTAAGAAATACAATATCTGAGATTAAAAATGTCAAAAAGAAAGCCTGAAAATGCTTAACAGCAGATGAGAGATGGCAAAAGAAAGGGTCGGCGAACTTGAAGGCAGAGCAATAGAACTTATCCAATCTAAACAGGAGAGAAAAATGAAGATTAAAAAAAATCTCCGTGGCCTACGGTACAACAAACAACCCAACATATTTGGGATCCCAGATAAAAATGTAATTGGAATTCCAGATAAAAAATGTGGAACTGAAGAGAAAAAAAAATTGAAAAAAATAATTGATGACAATTAGGCAATTTGGATAAATGAAACATTTTGTAGATCCAAGAAGGTCAGTGAACCCGAGCAGGATAAATACAAAGAAATCCACAGCTTGATACATTAGATCAAACTGCTGAGAAACAAAGACAAATTCCCTGAAAGCAGTGAGAGGAAAAAAAAAAAGACATTACAAAAAAAGAATACCACAAATGATGGATATAACTTATTAGAAGCAATGTAGAGCCAGATGGCAGTAAATTACATTTTTTAAGTGCCAACAGAATCCAATGATACAAAGCAAAAATGTCCTTCAAAAATGAAAATGATATAGACATTTTTGGATAAAAGAAAGCTTAGAATCCCTTGCCAGCATAACTGCACTATTAAGAGTTGACACAATAGAAACTGTGATCTACAGGAAAAAATGATAAGCACTAAAATGGTAACTATGTAGATAAATAGCAAAAAAGGATTTTTTAAAAAATTCTCATTTCTTTGAAAGATAATTTTAAAATTTTTTAAAATAGCATTTTAACCATATGATTTCACTCATGTGGAATTTAAGAAACAAAACAAATGAACATAGGAGAAAAAAAAAGAGAGAAGGAGGTAAATCAAAGAGCCTTCTAACTACATAGAACAAACTAAGGGTTGCTGGAGGGAAGGTGGGTGGGGGGATGGGCTAAGTGGGTGATGGGTTTTAAGGAGGACTGTGATAAGCAGTGGGTGTTGTATGTAAATGATGAATCACAAAATTCTACTCCTAAAACTAATATTACACTACAGGTAAACTAACTGGAATTTAAATAAAAACTCGAAACAAAAATAAATAAAGTTTTATATTGTATGTAGATATAAAACATATGACATCAACTGCACAAAGGACAGGGGAAGTAGTGATGGAAGTCAAACAGTGGCTGTGTATAGAAGCTAACTGATAAGTGGCATAAGTGAACCTTCTGGGGTGGTTAAAGTATTCTATATTTTTTTTTAAGATTTTATATATTTATTTGACAGAGAGAGATCACAAGTAGGTAGAGCAGCAGGCAGAGAGAGAGGGAGAAGCAGGCTCCCCGCTGAGCAGAGAGCCTGAGGCTCAAATCCCAGGACCCTGAGATCATGACCTGAGCTGAAGGCAGAGGCCCAACCCACTGAGCGACCCAGGCATCCCGTAAAGTATTCTGTATTTTGTTTGAGGCAGTGGTTACATGGGTGTACACATATAAAAATGCGTTGAACTATATATAAAGTTAAGATCTGTGTATTTCACAATGCTACACTTTACCCAATTTTAAAAACCATTTATGGAAGCACTGAAGACATAAACACTAAAAAAAGAAAAAGAAAGATAAAGAAAAAACTTATAAATAATTAAATAAAACAGTTAATTCTACATCTGAAGAGTTCCTTACACATTTACTGTAACATCAACATGGAATAAATAATTTCCTGAGCACTACAAAAGAAAACTTGTACACAATACTCCATTTACTAATTAGAAACTGGTAAAATTAAAGTTACTCTAGGGGTGCCTGGGTGGATCAGTTGTTAAGCGGCTGCCTTTGGCTCAGGTCATGATCCCAGGGTCCTGGGATTGAGAGCCTTGCATCGGGCTCCCTGCTTAGTGGGAAGTCTGCATCTCCCTCTCCCACTCCCTCTGCTTGTGTTTCCTCTCTTGCTGTCTCTCTTCTGTCAGATAAATAAATAAAATCTTAAAAAAATAAAGTCACTCTAATGATAACATGCAAAATAAAGATTTTATGATTAAATTTGTAATGGATTCATAGATAAATATTAACTTTTTCAGTTGCTATTTATTTCTCATTTTAGAGTCATCAGTGAAAAAATATATTAAAAAAAAACTCAATACATCCAAACTATTTAATTTAATTCAGTTTCAAAGGTACAAGATAATAGACAATTCAAAATTATCCTGGGTAAAATCAAGACATCTTTTCTTTTGGGTTAATGAAACTCCTACAGCCAATCAAAGACAGTCTAGCATAGAGGTTATAGAAACGGTTTCTAAAAAATTGAGATGCCTGAATCCCATCCTCAAATTTTCAAATTCTCCAGGCCAAGATTGAGGTTGAACAATACTCTTTTTAAAAGGCTCCATGTCCACTTCCTCATATGAGGGAGATCATATGATAGTTGTCTTTCTCTGATTGACTTATTTCGCTAAGCATGATACCCTCTAGTTCCATCCATGTCGTCGCAAATGGCAAGATTTCATTTCTTTTGATGGCTGCATAGTATTCCATTGTGTATATGCAACACGGGGGGTTAAGGGTGTAGGAGAAGAATAAATGAAACAAGTTGGGATTGGGAGGGAGACAAACCATAAATGACTCTTAATCTCACAAAACAAACTGAGGGTTGCTGTGCAGGAGGGGGGTTGAGAGAAGGGGGGTGGGGTTATGGACATTGGGGAGGGTATGTGCTATGGTGAGTGCTGTGAAATGTGTAAACCTGGCGATTCACAGACCTGTACCCCTGGGGATAAAAATATATTATATGTTTATAAAAATAAATAAATAAATAAAAGGCTCCATGGATGATTCCGAAGCACTCCCAAAACTGAAAACTACTCTTAGGTGTTCAGTAAATTATAGTGGTAAGAGCACAGACCCTGGAGACTGACTGACTGGTCTGGTGCTGCCACTTAGTAGCTCTGTAAATCTACAAAAATTATTTAACTTTTCTGTGTCTCAGGATAATCATTTAATATAGATAATCCACATTAACTTCGTAGTTTTGATATGAGCAATAAAATGAGTTAAAATGTTTCAAGTACTTAGAATAATGCTTGGCACCACAGTAAATAATTATAAACATTTGTTACCATTGTATATCAAGGAACACATCTTATAATGAATGAGGCACAAGATTGACTAAAGGCTGCTAATTATTTAAGCAACTTTACTAAAAAAATTTTTCAAATGTAGTTTTAAGTTTGAGACTGAAGAATTAACGCTCCTTCTAATCTTAAGTAACTCAAGAAACTGGCTAAATCTATTGTAGGTAATATACATGAAACATTTTTAAGGAGAAATTTATATAGATATGTGTTAGGATATAAAAATGGCATTCTTGGGGTGAACTGTATTAAATGTTAAAGTTGAGACTAAAAGACAAGAGACCACATTATGTTGTGTAGTTTGTACTCAGTATATGTTTGTTAAATACAGAAATGTTAGCTGGATAAGAATCTAAAAAAGACCTTGTGTCACTGTAAACTAGAAGAAAAATGCTTCTCTGGTTATTTACCAGGCTATATTCATAATTTTGTATATGATTTTCTCTCATTTCTATTTAGAATCTGACATTCTGGATTAGCTACATAAAACAGATAATTTTCAACAGTTTCCTTTTAATAGGTACTTTAAGTAAGTATTTTTAGCTCTTGGACATTCCAATTCAAGATTTTTCCCTTACGGTTAAAAATGAGTTCAAGATGAAGGTCACCATTTGTAATTAATTATAATGTGCAAATTTTCACATATGGTACGAATCTTGTGATTTACTCAAGAAGTCAATTTAATTACTTCCTTGGGAAATATAAAAAGCTATGTCCGAAGGAAGATTAAGCAAATGTTAAGTAAAAACAGCTGCTACATTTGACTTAATGTCATTAAGGGATTCAGTAACCTGAATGGAAAATATTAATTTTGATTTGACCAGTAATCAAATCGAATGCTTTTGTGACAAAAGATTACATGTAATTATAAAGTTTATTTGCCATTTTCAATACCCCAATTACAATATTATTTTAAGTAGAAGTATGTTCATCGTACGCAAATGTAAAGTTCAAGTTAACATCAATTGACTGAAACCCCAGTGGGCAAGAGTAGAGGCCTAAATCTGGCTTCTAAACCACCAGAGGAAAGGAGAAAAGCAAAGGAAAAATATCTGGAAAAGAAGAACTGAAAAATGAAGTACTTCCCACACTGAAGTCTGTCCTAAGCTCTCAGCACAAAAACCCTGATCCTAGGGCTTATTCAAATTCTTTGTTATGGTTTACAGAATCTTACATAATCTGGCCTGCTTTCCTTCAATTTATTAGACTCTCTCATATTCTGTTCCTGTTACAGAGAGCACTTTAATTTCCTCAAACACTATTTTCCATTTAGCTGTTTTATTTAGAAAATTTCCCATACCTTTCTGATTATTTTTACTTAGGGAATCATTTCCTGTCTCATAGATGAGAATAAGCCCACTGCCAAGTATTTTCATAATTCTTTATATTTATTTTAAAACTGACTCATTGTATTCTATGATTACTTTGTGTTTTCCTCATTATACTGCATCATTTATAAGTAGAGAAAGTATATTTTATCGCTATATCTGAAGTGATTAGCTAGATTACATAGGGCCTTCTATACAGAATGCCCTTAATAAATATTTCCTAACTGAAGACAGGTAGAAAGGGAGGGAGGAAAGAAGGGAAGGGAAGAAGGAAGGAAGGGAAGGGCGCGAAGGAGGGAGAGAGGGAGGAAGGAGAAGAAAAAAGAAAAGAAAAAGGAAAGGAAAAAGAAAGAAAGAAAAAGAAAAGAGGAGAGGAAAGAAAAGGAGAAAGGGAAGGGCAATGAAGAAGGAAGGGAAAGAAACAGAAAGAAAAGAAGAAAAGGAGAAGGGAAAAGAAAAGATGAAAGGAAGGAAGAAGAGAAAAAACCAGGAAGGATAGGAAAAAGTGAAGGGAGGATAGAGAGAAAGATCAATTACCCAAAGAAGAGGAGTCTACTCTGATATCCCTTAGCATTTCCTACAGAATTTAGGATCATGGAAAGAATTCCAAGATAAATATTACAGAAAAGTGGTAGTTAGTGTGATTGTTGAGTATGATATCATTTTTGCTATACTTTCTCACTGATCATAATTTTGGACACAGCCACCATGGTCCCCAAACCCCCGACTCTCAAAGATTCTAACACATTTTGTGACATATAGTAAGCTCTCTGATTCCAAAATACTTATATTTTCTTCTATTTATGGCCTCCAAATTAAATTTAATCTTCACTAAGCAAGTAAAAAATGTCAATCAAAACATAGAAATTTTCTTTTCACAGGTTAAAAATTCTAAGTAAGATCACGAACAATGTGCCAGTCATTTTTCTTACATCATAACACATAATATCTTACTTAATCCTCACAACAATTTAGGAGATATTGTCCACACATTTTTACAAAAAGCCAGCAGAGAAAGAAACTGGAGTTAAAATCCCGGTGTGGTTTCAGAAGTCTGCTCTTGCCCAGCACTGCCTCTTTTGTTTACCTAATGGAAGTAAGATAGAGAAAACTTTGGATTCTTGAATACTGCCTGATGATAAACAAATTTTTAGATAGGGACTATTACCCATAATCCTGTACCCTGATACCTTGGGGCCTACAAGAAGAAATAATGCTGACACTCCCCAAAAGTCAGCTGGAACAATACCTGCTGTTGTGAGGCTGTGAGGGAACAGCCATCTTTTAAGCTGTTACACTGTCCCCATCTTCCATGAGAGGGAAACATCTATGCTTTTTTCCCCTCCTCCTCAGATAATACATCACCTCCCTGGTCAACACAATTCAGCTTCTGTGGACTTGCTGTACTAGAAGTTAAATGCACTGATCTTAAAATGCCTATGCCATTTAGATAAAACTAAAGACAATCACAAGGTGTGAACCTTATTTGCATCTTGATTCAAATAAACAAACTTTAAAAAACCTGGTATTAATAAGAGAATCTTAATCTCACAAAACAAACTGAGGGATGCCAGGGGGAGGTGGGTAGGGAGAGGGTGGTGGGGTTATAGACATTGGGGAGGGTATGCGCTATGTTGAGTGCTGTGAAGTGTGTAAACCTGGCAATTCACAGGCCTGAACCCCTGGGGCTAATAATACATTATATGTTTATTAAAAATTTTAAAAATTAAAAAAAAAAAAACTGGTATTAAGTAATTAGAAATTCAAACACTGAATATCTGATGATATTAGGAATTCTTGTTTTAAAAATTATGATGATTATATTATGGCTATGTTTAAAGTAGGAACGTCTCTACTCTTTACAGATACACAGCAAAATGTTTATGAAATAGATGATACTATCCTAGGATATGCTTCAGAATAGTAATAGCAAAAAGAGGAAGTGAAATGCATGGAGGTATGGATGATATGAGACTGACCATGACATGGTGGTTCGTGAAACAGGGTGATGGGTTCACTGTACTCTTTTGTCTATTTCTGTGCATGCCTGAAAATAGAAAAAAACACAACCATCCCCACCAAAAAGAAAGAAAGAAAGAAGTAAAGAGAGAAGCTAATTTTATGGAGGTTTTGCCTGTCAGTGTTAAGAGGGACACATGATGTGATGAGCACATGCGACTAATGAAACATTGAAAATTACATCAAAAACTGATGTACTATATGTTGGCTAATTGAAGTTAAATTAAAAAAGAAAAAAGAAAGTTGCATTTTACTCCCACATACAAAATAGTGGTCATTATTAGTTTAAATTGATGGTGTCTTCATAAGACTGAAAAGCTAATGAAAAAGTTAAAAAAAAAAAATTGGTCAAGTGTCCATGTTTGTCATCAAATAAAAACTCTGAATGATAAGTTATATTTAAATTTTCTTCAAGCTATTTACCATATTATTGAGATACCATACATAATATATGGTTGGAAGTATGATTCCACTGTTTCATTTTCTGGTGGGCTAGATCACTCAAGACATACTACTCTGTATTTACAGTAAGTGCCCTAAGTCAACTATAAACACTCATCGTATTAGTTTATAATATTTATTTAGATCATCTAGTCTAAAAATGGCAAGTAATAAGTAGTTCTTTTCATCAAACCACCTATTGACCTACCAAAACACCTCACCATAGTTTATAAGTTGCCAACAAATAAATAAAAGATTTTAGAAGGAAGCCTTCAGTTTATACTGAATAGGGACAGTATTGGTTCCACTAAATTCAATCTGTAAAAATACTGTAATTTTCATTTTGTGTTACATATTTTGGAGACCAATTTATAAAAGGGAATAGTCAAGATATTTCTTAAAACCACCACTGTTATAACTCTTCTAATGCATAAGCTTAAAAAAGAGAAAGTCCTGTCATAGAAAGATTCTTTAACATAAAATTAAAAAAAAGAAAATACATTTTTAAATTAAGAAGAAAGGAAAACCTTTAACTTTAAATTTTAATAATAAGTAGTGAAGGCCTGTACCAAAACCAAAAAAACCCAAAAAATAAAAAATAAAACACTGAAAACCTCTAAATTTAAAAAAGTGATGCCAAAAAGGTACTCTAGCCAAACCAAAAGGCATTTTCCATTCTGGTTTTCTGTAAATAAGAAGTTAAAAAACCCAGTGAGTCATATAGAATGGAAATATCCCAGCAGCAAGTCACAAGCAAGCTCTGGAAACTTACTTCAGTTTCTCCTCTTCACTCAATGTCTTCCACAGTTCTTCAATTTGTACTGCTGTATCCTCCAAATTGGTCTTAGAATTTTCTGTGAGAAACTGAGCACGACGATCTTGAATAAAAAGGGCGCTTGCTGACATGGGTTTTCTGATTACCCGATTGCTAATTAAATCATATGCTGTAAGCTGTCCAGATTTGTTATCTACCACATTTGATTTTTTGTTACAGGAATCTTCACTGAGATTCTTTTGTTCAGGGCTTGGATAAGCTTTATTATTGAGTTCACATGCTGAACTTTCTCGAGGCACTAAAATTTTCACAGGTTCAATGTTTTCTCCCATTGAATTTTTAAGTGTATTTCCCTTGCTCCAGTCATCTGCACAGATTTCCAAAGACTTCTCAGGAACTGCTGCTTCCTCATTTTTCCCACTCCCAGCGCTATTGTTTTTACTGCCATTTTCTGATTGGGTATGCTTAACGGAACCTACAAAACAAGTCTCACTACATTCCTTCCGGACATCCTCACAAGATAAATTATTCACTGGGATCTCTTGAAATGTATTTCTACTGTTTCTACCAATGTTAGAATTTTCACTATTAAAATGATCATCATAATGGTCATCAACATGTATCTGATGATTTAAACAATAATTAGTGCTTTTCCCAGATTTATCATTATGCACATCATTTTGGAAAGGAATGGCTGAAGTATCAACATTTGGATAATTATTTCCAGATGATTCCATCTTATTAAAAAGCACATCTGTTTCTGTTGTATTACTAACAACCATGTCAGCTGAGGAAACATCTGTTTTATTATTTTCGTAAGAATCTGTACTAGGTAGTGATCCATAACAAGTCGTCATCAGATTTTCAAGAGCAGTTAAAACAGATTCCTAAAAACATAAATTAACAAATGTTAGGGAAAATTACAAAAAATAATAAATAGGCAAGATTTAAAATATTTAAAAATATGTATAAATAAGCAACTTTCCCATGTGAAAATGGTTAGGACTGCGTAAGTTTATAAATAACATAAATTAAAAAACTATCCCCAAATTTACCTTATTCTGTAATAATACTTGACTTTTATCTGGTGTTAAATTTACGTCCACATCAGCTGTAGGAACGTCAATTTTCAGAAAGAAAATGGGATACAAACGAGTTGGTTCCTTTAGGCACTTCAGATTGTAATGATGTCGGATTAACTAGAAATACATGTAATAAAGAAAAGATAAAAATAACATGTAAAGATAGTACTGCCGTCCTTAAATAAAACCAAAAAATTAGTCTCCTGAGAAACTGAGGAGCTGTAACTGCTAATGAGGAAAAGCAGTATCTAAATGGTACTACTCATTTGGAGGCCTTGAACTTACATGAAGCACCAACATTCACTAAGAAGTACAACTCTCCAGTGCATCTGGCTTCACGGTTAAAAGATCAGAGAGTCATGGATGTTTCCAAAGTCCAGGGTTCAAATCCAGACTCCTGCTTCCTGGCTATCATGGGCTTCTTAGTCACTAACTTCTTAGTCACTAATACTTCAGTTTCTTCACTATAAATAAGGATAATAATTCATCACAGAATTGTTGCGAAGTCCTATGTAAGACACCTAGCATAATGCTTAATAAATACTAGAGTATCTGCTTATCTCCTCCTTATTTTAGAGCAAATCCTTGAAGCAGTTCTTACAACAGGTTGACAAATGATAGAGCTAGTTTTTATTTCTGATCCAAGTAATACTTTTTTTTTCTAAAATAGATTACCTTTAATATGTCTTTTTGATGTATTGGTCGTTGGTTTATAAAGATAAAACTCCTTTCTGGGGTTGAAAGACTTGTTAAAGAGTGGTCTGCATCATGCTTTGGAAGAAACCCACTTAGATAAATCTGCAATTATAATAAATAGTTACAGAATTAGTATAAATGTCAACAATGAATGTGTTTCCAGGGGTCTGACTATTTACAGTACAAAAGGTATAAAAAAATAAAATGGATTTTCATTTTACGGTCTCAAGAGTCTTATACTTGCTGATAACCATGTCTTGAACATTAACCTTAAATAAAATACGGAAGCTTATTACACTGCTGTTCTTGGCCTCTAACTCTCTTCCTACAACTCTTTTTAAGGAAAAATTGGCATTCATAAAAGCTTCATGAATGGGCATATATATGTTTTACTGTCATAGGATATACAACATAAATACTGCTGTCTGTTCAACCCTATCTTCTTTCTTCTTAAAATTTCTTTACTGTCTAAAAATTCTTCATACTGTGACTTTCTTTTAGATATTTGTCCTTTTCAGCCATCTTTTCCTATAAAGAAGTGGCTGTTTCTATTTTGTGGAGTCAACCTGTGTTTTCATTTCTCATTTAAAAATCCCTTTCAGGGGTGCCTGGGTGGCTCAGTTGCTAATCATCTGCCTTCAGCTCACGTCATGATCCCAGAGTCCTGGGATGGAGCCCCACAATGGGCTCCCTGCTGAGTGAGAAGTCACCTCTTTCTCCCTCTCCCACTCCCCTAGCCTGTGTTCCCTTTCTTGCTGTGTTTCTCTCTGACAAATAAATAAATAAAATCTTGGGAAAAAAAAAAAGGGGCACTCATATATCCTTTCAGAAAAAAAAAAAATCCCTTTTACTCTTTGATACCAATTGTAGTACTTTATTTTCATTTTTGTTCAGAGAACTTTTCTACAATCAACCCAATTATTTTTATGCTCTTTATTTTACAAATGTATAAAAAGGAGGGAGAAAATGATAAAGGATCCTAGAAAAAAATGCCAGAGAAAAGAAAGAGATTGAGGAGACAGAAGCAAAGAAAAAAATGCTCCTACTTATTACTTCTAAAGATAATACAGAGATTTGTTAAGAATATGGGACAGAGCCAGACCGACATGATTTAAATCCTAGCTCCATTACTAACTATGTGATCTTGGTCAAGTTATTTAAAATATAAGCCTGTACTCTCTTATCTGAAACAACTAGAAACAGAGGTATTTATATTAACCTGTTAAGAAACACTAATAGTAAGATTTCAGCTTAGGTCTAGGAAAGTGAGAGTGTCAGCGGAGATGCTATTTTTAGGTAAGGAGAAACCATGAGGCTCTTTACCAACACACTGGGTAGGCTGCCCTCTATGTCTACGGCTATCCCTACTCTTAGAAATAAGTGTTTAAGGAGATGCATTACCAATTTTAGAACACTAAGTGCATTATTGTCACAGTGCCAAACTGTGCCAATTTAAAAAATAAATTAATAAAGCTGGATAATCTATTACAAAATACTACTTAATTAACTGTATAAGTCCACAGCATTTATAAATGGTTGCATAATTTACCAGGTAACCTGAGATCTTTCTTAAAGCACCTGCTGAGTATCAGGAAGCACCTGTTTAGTCTCTGAAAGACTTACTGGGTTTGTGGACTTAAAACTGCCCCAAATAGGTAGGAATGAAAAATGAAATGAGGAAAAACTGGTAATATTGGTAGTAGTTTCCTTTTATACCGTCTTAGTTGTCCACTGAATAATTATCATTTCCAAATACTGAGTTTTAAAAATGACTTAGGACAACCTTAAGAACAAAGTATATTTAAGTTATATGGAAAAGTAAAATCAAAGAGCAAAGTCATAAAATGCTCTAAAAATGAAAATCAGGGTACCTTATGGAAAAAGAATGTCTGTTAGAGACCCAAAACAGTGCCAAAAAGACAGAGAGAGACTAAATCAGTGCAATCAAATAAAAAATTTGACCATACAAGATTCTGACCTAAGTATTCCTCAACCTACAAAGCAAAACAAAAATGAAAAGGCAAAAATATAAACAAATACTTCTCCCCTGATTGCCCTGCAACTATGGACCTCTCCTTCCCTTCATCATCTCCAATAATCCCATAGAATCCCCTACAATCTGGTTTCTACTACCTCCAATGGACACTCAGTCTTTCTCTTATTTGATTCTCTGCAGACCCTTGAGAGGGTCCAGGATGGCAGAGGAGTAGGAGACTTAAATTTCGTTTGGTCCCAGGAAGCCAGCTAGATAGACATCAAACCGTTCTGAACACCTACAAACTCAACTGGAGAATGAAGAATACAGCAACTCTATGAACAGAAAATCGAACACTTGCTGCAAGGTAGGAGGTCGGGAGAAGTGAATCTGAGGTGACAGACGGGAAGATTCTCTGAAGAGCCTGGCGCTGATGACAACTCTGTCACTCGGGAAGTCTCTCTTTTGGTCTCTCTGCTTCCTCCCTGACACTTCCTCTGTAGTCTGGTTTGCTGACTTCTCTCCCTTTGCTTACCACCTATAAATGATGATGGTTCCCCTGAGTTCCATCATCAGAGCCTTTCTTCTTGGACTGGACTCTCTGAGTAATTTCATTCACTTCCATACACATACACCAGTGATACTAAGATATAGATGTATAGCCTCTATTTCTTTCACCCCCAAATGCTTACTATTTTTAACTAGCAGTCACAAAAATCTTCTCAATCACACGACATTCAAAACTTGATGAAATATTTCATGCCACTGCTGACCTGCTATACTACTGGCTCCTCCATGTTTCTTCAGCATGATAGTGAGTCCTGCCACCAACCCAATCTGTCAAACCCATCTCCTCTCCTCTCCTCTGATTCTGCTGAAGTAACCCTGACTGGTTTCCTAATCGTAGTTTTCCCTTTCAGTAAACCTCAAGAACACCAGGGAGTTATGTTTCTAAAATAATAATTTAAGTAATTCTGCTCAGGACAGTGGGACAAATTCATGCAGAAACTCCCTTCTCCCAGATCCCACCTGCAAATACCTAAGAGTCATAGATAAAATCAATTTTTACAAAAATCTCAAGACTGAACCCTTTAAAGGGAAGACAACATAAGATGTTAAGGATGCAAAACATAAGGGATAGTGATGGCTGAAATCAAAAGTCTTATGTGCTCTTGGATCACAAACCAGCTGTGTCAGAAAAAAAGGTTTTTGTAACCATGTGTGGTTATAGATGTAACTAGACTTACTATGGTGATTATTCTGCAATATATACATATAACAAGCCATTTTGTTGCATGCCTGAAACTAATATAATGTTATATATCAACTATTTCTCAATTAAAAGAAGAAACCATCTGCCAGGTGGAAATTACATTCTGATGTGGAAACAGGAACAGAACACACATACAAGGCAAGAAAGTAATTAAAATCAGTCTTTCCACCTGAGATGAGCCACTGAAACTGCCCTCTTCCTCCCCCTCAAAAATGCTTAAAAAATACTGTGACTACTGTTTATGGAGCTGCTTGCAAGGGTCACAAGAAAGAACACGGATAACTCCAAAACCAAAAATAAAGCTAAGTGAAGTCAGCTAGGAAAAGGGGTCGATAAAATCTTGGCAGGACAGAAGGCATGAACTACTAAGATTAGCACCTGGTTTTGAACTGGGGCCAGGACGGGGGTGGTACCTGCCAAGCCACGGGGAGGAAGAAGGTGGAGTGGATAAAAACAAAAACATCAAAACAATAAACCTGCATGCACAATGACTGTGTAAATTAAAATTTCAAAGCATATAAAATAGCAGAGAATGAGAGACTATTCTCCCAGAAAATTAGAAATGACAGAGCAATAGAAAAGAACTTTGAAATTAGTACATGTACTATGCTTTCAAAAGAGTAAAGAAAAGCTACATCCATTATTTAAAAAATCAGGTGATTAAAATAATCAAGCTATAATCGTAGTTATAAACAAGTTTAGAAGAGAACAGGAAAACAAATAAATTCTGAATCCTGGAAATATACAGTTTTGGGAATAAAAATCAGGCAGCATTGAGGAATTCACCCAGAACTTGGCACGGAAAAACGCAGAGATAAAAATATCAAGAGAAGATAGTTATCAAAAAACAAAACAAAACAAAAAACAAACACACAAAAAATAAAATCTGATATCTATCCCCTAAGCTAACAATGCCACATTGGGAAACTCCTAATAAATGCCATCACAGCAGTGGTTCAGCGGGGATCACCATGCATAAATAAGAGATTCTCCAACATTAAGTGGCTCTAGAAAAGAAAGTGACCCTCAACATTATGGGAAGAGATACAGAAGATTCTCTTTATCCAAGGTTCTCAATGACAAATGCATTTGCCATCCCAGTACAGTGAAGGCATCTTGGTGGCCAAGTTTCACAACCTGAAGATATGTAATAGGGACAGAAGTGAGGTGAGTTGGGGCAACTATTAGCAGTAGGCAAACCACATAAGTTGCTTTTGGCCAGTAATGAGAAAGGGTCAAAGAAACTCTGATACAGGATAACCCTCCTTACAAGTCCAGAAAGCATGGACTGGTGATGGGGAGCTACTGGCAACATAAATACAACACCCATTTAGATACACAGTACATAAATAGAAGAGAGATTTGGTTAGATGGTCACTCTCACTAGAGACATACTCAGAAGTTCATCATTCTGACAACCCATGGAACTGGAACTATTCAGCAGCACATGCTTTCCAAATTCCTGCATTCTTCTGTGCAAGGAAAACCACATTAAGGTATAGCAAAAGTTTTGATATCTACCATAGATGACCAGCAGCTCTCACCCAATTCAAGAGAAAATTTAAAAATCAATGGGCAAGCACAGATCTGGCAACACATCTCAATATAGTGATTTCCACTGGGAAAATGACTAACAGGACAGTTCCAATCACACATGAAAGCATAACTGACCAAGATCTACATCAGTGTTTCTCATATTTGAATGTGGGGGTCTTGTTAAAATGCAGATCCTGATTCCCTATGTCTGGGATGAGGTCCTTCATCTCTAACAAGCATATAGGTAATGCCAGTGCTTCAGACCAAACTATGACAGCTAGAATACCAAGAGCACAATACCAAAGATCATCAAGCCTGGATCTCTTGTCATAAGCTTCCTGGGTTACCAGTGTAGGCAATGAAGTCCCATGAAACCACAAGGAACATGGGGGAATTTACTATCCTGAGACAGTACCTTTATTATCCCAAGTCAGCCACCATAACAAGTCTAAGGTGGCACTAGAGTATACTGAAACTACTTAACAACTATTAAGGAAGCTCTGAAAAACAGGATCTATGTCAGATCATGGCCACTGCTCCAGGGACCATAGCTGGCCACTAAGGCTGGCCTGAATTGTTCCTCAGACAGAGAGAACATCAACTGAGCACAAGCTTCCATCCAAGACTAATAAAATGATAATTATTAAGAACGCAATACTGCAAGGAGAATAGAAGAACTAGTAGCAGAAAAGAAATTTCAACAAATTATGAAAAAAGAGAAGAACAAAGAAACCAACTGTCCCACAGAACATAGAGCCTTCAGGCTTCAAGTGAGCAGACAAGCAAAAACAAGCAGATTCTATCTTATATACTGTTCCATAAAGAAACTGAATAAGGATAATCTGTCATGAACCAATGACAATTACCTAACTTTGTGCTAGGAAGAAAAAAAGAAAAAGAGGGAGGAAAGGAGGGGAGCGGGGAGAGATGAATTTCCTGAGAACTGGAGCAGTGAGTATGGGTGCAGTGTGTTAAGCCCCCAACCCATGATGGCACTTGTGACTCCCCCAGACTCTGGGAACAGGACCAGGACCTTGATTAATCCTCAACTGAAGCCTGACACTCAATAAGCCCAGCCACAAACACTAAGTTCCCAATTAGACTTTTTATTCACAGAAAAAAATGGCTTGGAGGAAAAAGACCCAAAAAGCAAAACAAAACCGACCTCCTCCTAAAAAAGAGATAATTTAAGGAACAAATAATTTAAAAATAGAAATAAAACTTAGTATCTCTAAAGAGAATCAAGATTTTGTATCCATAAAACAACAATATGAAGTTGTAAAAAGGCAATAAAATTTGAAAACACTCTTGGAGGGGCACCTGGGTGGCTCAGTCGGTTGGTTGAGCATCTGACTCTTGATTTCAGCCAGGGTCATGATCTCAGGGTCATGGGGTCAAGCTCTGCATTAGGCTCTGTGCTGGGCATAGAGCCTGCTTGGGACTCTTTTTCTCTCCCTCTGCCCCTCCCCACCCTCATTCTCTCTGCCTCTTTCGCTCTAGGAAAATAAAAAATAAAAAATAAATACTCTTGGAAATGAAACATAAAACGTTCAAAAAAATCCAGAAGGGATAAAACAGAGTGAGACATCTCCAAAAACTTACAGAAAAAGGAAAAGATACAAAACTTGAGAAAAACAGTAGAAGAAAAATAACAGAAGATCCTAAATCAATAAGGAGTTTCATAAAAGAGAAAAATGATCAAAGTTATGACAAATAGAAGTATATAACCCAGACCTGAAAAAGAAATAAATTTTCAGATTCAAAAGGTCTCACAAGTGCTCAGCATAATAAGCAAATGAATAATAAAAGACATGCATCTTGAGACATTCTTGGAACAGAGACCAAGGAAAGATCCTAAGAACGTTCAGAAAGAAAAATACAGAAATAAAGAAAGAACTAGAATGCATCCATTTTCCCATCAACAACAATGGTCAAAGGTACTCAATGTCTTCAAAGTCCTGAAAAATTATCTTCAATCTACAATTCTAGATCTACCAGACTAGAGAGAAAGTCAACAAGAGAAAGTATAAAATAAAGGCATTCTCATACATAAAAGTCTACCTCTCATGTCCCCTTTCTGTGGTAGTTAACTAAAGATGTATATGAGAAAAATGAGAACGAATACTTCTCAGGAAGACATGGGATATATGAAATAATGTAAACAACTAGTATTCCTTTGAAAAAAAATTTCAGGATGGGAGCTATATGAAACACCTGGCATGTAATCAGTTCGATTAAGAAATTAGGTTCTAGGGGCGCCTGGGTGGCTCAGTGGGTTAAAGCCTCTGCCTTCAGCTCAGGTCATGATCCCAGGGTCTTGGGATCAAGCCTCGCATCAGGCTCTCCGCTCAGCAGGGAGCCTGCTTCCCTTCCCTCTCTCGGCCTGCCTCTCTGCCTACTTGTGATCTCTGTCAAGTAAATAAATAAAATCTTAAAAAAAAAAAAAAAGAAATTAGGTTCTAAATCTAATGCTTTTTAAAAATGGAGTAGAATAAATTACCAGCTATAGCTACCAGAATAAGTAGAAGAGCTGGATTTAATTGTCAACATGATGAAGAAAATTTCTTCAACTTAAGAAAGGGAAAAAACAAACAAACAAAACCCAAACCTTGGAAAGTCCAGAAAAAGCAAAAACTATGTAAGAGAGTTCATATATAAAGCACATTTTGAGCAAGTGACAGGAGAACAAGAAAGGAGATTCCACTTAATTGCAACAATAGAAATAGTCTCATTTGTATAAAATGGACACATAACATGGATTCTTAGGAAATGTCATCCCAGTACAATACTTGGCTTTGCACTGAAATTTATTTGTAGACATGCAGTATTCTCCAAATAAATTTTCAACTTTTGCTGTCAATTTTCAAACAAAAGATGGAGACTTAAAATTGGCTGCAAAAGAAAACAAGTCATTAAGCTTGATAATATAAAAGTAGGGCTGACATGATATAAAAGTAAGACTGGGAGTGTTCTTAATTCATAACCTCATCTAGCATTACAGGAATTCAAGAAGCACTGTCTGAAGCTGAGAGATCAAGAAAAGGAAGCTGGAGTACATATTTAGAATTGTTAAGAGAAAACAAAGGTAAGAGAGAGCTCAACTCTTCTTTTTCTTTTTAACATTTTTTTTAAAAAGATTTGTATATTTGCGCGAGAGCGAGCGAGACGGGGGGAGGAGCAGAGGGAAGGGAGAGACTCTCAAGCAGACTCCCTTCTAAGTACAGAGCCCAATGTGGGGCTCAATCTCATGACCGTGAGATCACGACCTGAGCTGAAATTAACAGTTGAATGCTTAACCAACTGAGACACCCAGGTGCCCCAACTCCTCTTCTTTCACGGCAAAAAGTAAATGAATAAGATCCTTTACTGAAAAGCATTATTTAAAAAAATGTAACCACAATGTTCAAATTAAAAACAAAACAAAACAGGAAGTAGGGCTAGCAAGAGAGGGTTAATATAAGTTGTAAATGTATCTTCTTTTTTTACCCTATACATACATCTAATTAAAATGTTACAAGAAAAAGTTCTTGCCACCCCAAACCCCAAAAGAAAAATAATTTGACAGTTTCAGTGGTAAACCGGAATTATTTAAGAACATTTTGCGGAATACCTGAGATTCTTCAGAGTGGTACTGAAAGGATTCCATATTGCCCATAACGCCAGTCCCCAGAACAGACATGAGAGCCATCTTATGATCAGATACTCTATTTTTCTGCCAAATAACTGCCTAGGGACAAAAAGACACAGACAATTTTTAACACAATTTAGATTTACTAAACTCAAATGCTTACCTCATTTATTTCCGTATTTAGCATTCATCCCCAGCTTATAATTTCAGTATCATTTAGAAGAGATGCACGGGCTATAAAGTCAGAACTCTGGTTGTGAATTTTAGTAACTGTATATGTTATGGCATAAATCTATTTAACTTTCCCTAACTTCAGTTTTCTCCTCTCTACAAAATGACTAAGAATATTTATCTCCCAGAGTTGATGAAAGATGAAAATAAACAATGTAGGCAAGCACACAGGGCAGTGCCTAATCCTAACCTTTATATACTTTAAAGTACATTTAAATTAAATTGTTATTCTCAGCAAGGTATTACTATTTTATTGAGGATGGAAAACTGAGCTGCAAGATTTCTGTAAATAGTCTAAATGATATAAAAACTTGGGATAATGCATGCTCTTTAAAATTATCTTTGCAATTACCTTGTACATACAGACCACTTAAAAAACCTAACTGAATCTCATAGACATAAAAAGCTGAATAATGAGCTTGGATTTTTCTCACCAGAAAAATGTAGTAGGGTAGTTTAAGAGAATCATGGTCCAGAGAGACTGGACCAAAGTTTGTGAAGTGCACCATCAGATATAATATATTGCAATTTGTTCAGTTAACAAGATCCAATTATAGTAAATCTCTTGAGAAACCATCAATACAGGCATAATTTGTTCATTAACATTCACCTAGCACCTCCCAAATCCTTACAAAAATGTGTAAAGGACCTAGGAGAAAACATCAACATTCAAGGGACTTGCAGAGGAAGAAGAGACTGAAAAGGAGTAGTGTCGACGCAGAGGGAGGTCGAGCTATAGGACAGTACAGTACATAGAACAAGATAATTTTGTAAGAAGCAGTCACAGAAGACCAATGTCAAGAAACAAAGATATGAACAGAGTTGTGGCTACAGGATTTAACAATCAGAAGAGTGTGGCAGTTCTAGGGAAGGAGAGTAAACAAAGCCAAATCTCAATGATGTATAGTGATTATGGGGAGAACGTAAAAAATGTGAACCTAGGGACGCCTGGGTGGCTCAGTGGGTTAAGCCCCTGCCTTCGGCTCAGGTCATGATCCCAGGGTCCAGGGATCGAGCCCTACATCGGGCGCTCTGTCCAGCAGGGCGCTTGCTTCCCCCTCTCTCTTCTGCCTGCCTCTCTGCCCACTTGTGATCTCTCTGTCAAATAAATAAAATAAATCTTTAAAAAAAAATGTGAAACTAGACAGCATTTCAGAAAGTTTCACTGTAAACTGAGAGCAGACAGAGCAATAACTAGAGGCAGGTGTGGATCAAGAGTGGGTCTTAATACGACACACCCGAACTGGAAGCAGTAAAGAAAGAATGGGTGTATAAACAAGTAGGTTTGTAGATTCAATGGCTAGAGGTTAAGAAGTTCCTTATAATTTTCCCCTGTAATGTAGAAAGGTTACATTTGTTGTGAGTGAAAAAACTGTGATTTAAATATCTGATTGCAGAGGGGAGAGAGAGAGTGAGAGAGAGAGAGAAACAGTGAGACTCTGACAAGACCAAACTAGATCAAAGGATTCTGGCCAAATGAGCTCCTTAATATGAACAGAAACCTACAAAGGCAGTTTGAAGTACTGAGAATATTATATATAATAAAATGAAAAGTAAAGTAAATGGATTCAGTGTTGCCCTCTAACTGGCATGCTGGGGGGATAGCAGTGAAGGAAAGTGCCCCTCTGGACCTGGCAATTAGCACTGACCCTGCATGTTGATGTGTTAAGATTTTTAGAATCTTAAAGACACACCTGCTTAGGAAAACAGAGGTACTGTAACAACTACTCAACTACTCAATAACTAACTACTCAACAATAACCTGAAATTCAGTGTAACAGGAAACCTTTTACCTATTTCCAGAGTTTTATTAATACTAATCACATAGGAGTTATGATTTATGAAGAACTTACTTGGCATTACTATTCTAGAAACCACTGTTAATTTTCACAACTTTTTCATGTAGGTATTATTATCTCATTATGCAGAGGAAGGCAATGAACCTCAGACTGACTGATTTATCCAAAGAAACTTAGATAGTAGGTCATGGAGCCATAATTTATACCCCATCTTTTTGGCTCCAAACTTACTATTTTTACTCTGCTAACATCTTTCCCCTCTCTAGTCAAAGACAGTAATAAGTTAGAGCCAACATCAGACCCTAACTTGGAATTCTCAAAGACAAATGCATTTTCATATATGATTACCCTCCACATCCATGTGATATACTCTCTACTCTCCAATTAACTTGAGGGTATTAATGTATTCTCAAACCAAAATTATTTTTAATCTAGTCACTTAAAAATAAATAAATAATTGGGGTCCCCAAATCAAAGAAACCACACCAGAATAATGGAAGTCCAAAAAGACTGGGAGCTACTATCTCAGCATCCTAAAATCAGAATATTTTTGAATGCAGTTGTCAGTACTAATACAGATATTATAATACAGATCCTTATACCTAAGAATTTCTAAATTTCCAGTTATTTTCATTCATTAATATTCACAGAAATACAGATGTGCAGCAATTAGGCCCAAAGTGCACAGCAGAAATGACAGAATTAGGAAAATAATTCAGGTATTGCGCCATCCTAAATTCACTTTTCCACTATTATGTATTGCTTTCAAAGTGATCTTAATTAGAAAAAAATAAAGTACATGAAGAAATCAAAGTATAAAAATAAATTATAAAAAATAAATTATAAACATAGGTTCAATGTGTGTATTTCTCTCTCTTTTTTTTTTTTTTGAAGATTTATTTATTCATTAAAGACAGGCACCACGGAGAATGAGCAATAGGAGAGGCAAAAGGAGGGAGAATCCCTAGCAGACTCCATGCTGAGCACGGAGCCCAACACGGGCCTCCATCTCATGACCCTGAAATCATGACCTGAGCCAAAACCAAGAACTGGATGTTTAATCGACTACGCCATCCAGGTGCCCCCAATGTGTATATTTCTAAACAAAAATTACGTCTTGGTAACTACATTTATACTTACAGGACAATATACTAGACTATTTAAAATTGGAACTGCTTCAGGAAATATGGGATGTAGAGTCACAAATATATTTTTAATCTTCAATTTTATCACATATATTCTATAAATACTTTGGCTAAATTAAAATTTTTGGGGGAGCTCATTTCAAAATTTTTTTGAAGACTTACTTATTCATTTTGAGAGAAAGGGAGAAAGAGAGCACATGGGGGCAGGGCATGGAGAGTGACTCTTAAGCTGACTCTGCGCTGAGGCCAGGGGTCCAAGAAGGAGAACTCAATCGCATGACCCTAAGATCACAATCCAAGCTGAAACCAAGAGCTGGAGGCTTAAGCGACTACACCACCCAGGTACCCCACTCACTTTGAACTTATTCAGCAAATATTTATTGAGCATCTACTTCACATCAGATTCCATGCTAAAAGCTGGGAAATTAAAGATAAAAGGATAAGGAACCGACTCTCAAAAGGAACTAAAAATATAAAAGGAAAATAAGATATTAAGATAATTATAATGCATTATAAAAACTGCTATTATGAAACACAGCAGACGCACTGTAGTAGAAACCTAAGTCTAATTCACAGAGCAACTGTAGGTGCAGAGAAACCTGAAAGGAGTCTGTCACCCATGACTCATGGGATAGGCACTGCTGACAGACAGAAGGGCACATGCAAAGGCACGGAAGCACAGAGAGTACAGGTTGCTGGAAATGAAGCTGGACAGACAGGAGCAAGATCATGAAAGACTGATCATATCACACAAAGAAGTTTAGTTTATCTTGTATGCAATGCAGAGTCACTGGAGAAAGATATCTAACTGGGAAAATGCTTGATCAGATATGGATGTTAGAAAGAGATCTCTGGACTTTAAGGACATTATGTTAAGTGCAAGGAGTCAGATACAGAAAGACAAATACTGTACAATATTGTTCATATGTGGAATCTAAAACCAAACTCAAAGAAACCAGAGAATAAAATGATAGTTACAAGGGAACAGAAGGTGGGGAGATAGGACGGATGTTGTTTAAAGGTACAAACTTGCAATAAGTAGTAATTAAGTCTAGAGATCTAATGCACAATATAGCAAATATTAACAACAGTACCGTATAATAATCAAACTTGCTAAAGACTGAACCCTAATTATCCAACCACTACAAATAAATGATAATTATGTAATATGATAGAGATGCTAATTATTGCTACAATGGCAATCATATTACAATATATAAATGTATCAAATTAATATGCTATATACCTTAAGTTTACATAATGTTGTATTGTGAACTATAATTCTATAAAAAAGATCTTTTGTAAGAATGATTTAGTGAGAACTGAAACTAAAGCAATATAAGTTTTTAAAAATGTGATTGAATTTATCCCGCTCAGAGATCCTCACTTTTCCTGAGGACATGCTAAAATGAATGAGTTCACATTCACAAAATATTTCAATAGGCATTGAAGACTGTATAATTCCTGGCACACTAGTTATAATGGTACCACTTTTTCTTACACTTACAAAAAAACAAAGTGGAATGCAAGCCAGTCAGTGTGACAATTACAGGATTATTCTTCTAATTTTTTTTTTAAGGTAAAACATTTGCATACATTGGTACTTTACTAATATTAACACTATGGCTGAGGGGTGCTTGGGTGGGTGGCACAGTCGTTTGTCTGACTCTTGGTTTTGGCTCTTGGTTTTGGCTCAGGTCATGATTTCAGGGTTGTAAGACTGAGCCCCACATTGCACTCTGCGCTCAGCATGGAGTGTCTGCTTAACACTCTCTCTCCTTCTGTCCCTCCCCACGATCAAATACATATACATACATACATACATATATCCTGTGGCTGAGAGTCACTGGACTAGGTAACAGAACTAAGCATATTGCTAAGAGGGAAAGAGGGTACAGTGATCAACTAAAGAATATGAAACAGA